GCTCCATCATCTTGCCTCTGCTGACCTCAGCCTATCTTTCAATCAAATCAGTCAGTGTTTATTAAGAACTTACTATGTGCCAGGCACTGTGATAAGCCTTGGGGAGAGAGACAAAAGGCAGTCTCTGCCCTTAAGGAGCTCACAGTCTAATGGGGGAGACACCATGAGAACAAAAATTTACAGAGTAAGCTATATATAAGATAAATGGGAAATAATTGAAGGAAGCCACTGGAATTAAAAGGGGTTGTGGGAGGCTTCTTTTAGAAGGTGGGATTTTAGTTGGGACTTAAAGGAAGCCAGGGAGGTCAGTAGTTGGAGCAGAAGAGGGGGTACATTCCAGATATGAGGTCAACCAGAGAAAATACCCAGAGCCAAGAGAACAGCCCAGATGCCAGTATTGCTTTTATTATACATTATTCCACTTTATGCACTCTACCAACCAATCAAACTGAATGATTGCTGTTCTCCTCTTCTCTACTTCTTCATACCTAGGATGTGCTCCCTACTCACTTCTACCTAATCCCCAGCTTCCTTCAAAGCTCCAAGTGCAAATTCATACATGAATCCTTTCCTGATGACTCTTGCTGCTAGGCCCAAATCCTCTACTCACTGAAATTACTTTGAATTCACTTTGTACTTAATTGTGTACATGTTGTTTCTTCCATAGAATGTAAGCTCCTTGAGATCAGGACTGTTTCTTTTTTTGCATTTCTGTTATCCAGTACTTGGCATACAGTAGGTACACAATATTTATCAGTTATGCTGTTTAAAAATAGTTGCACTAAGCACATGGGATATAAAGACAGAGCAAAAACTACTCTCTAACCTCTAGGACATTTTACTTACTGGCCACTACCTGCCATGCTGCCTCTACTGAAACCATTGCTTCACTTTGCTTCCACTAGGTCCTTTGGCTCTGATAGGTCAGCTTTTATCTTACCCTCCCAGTCTCCATGACTTTTCTAGCTCATTCCTTGTCATACTCAATGTGTAGTACCTCGTTCTTCTGTTTTCCCCTTTTCCTTTCCAGCTTCCATTTATCCAAATCCCATTCCTCATCCCCCACTTTTAGATTCCTTGTTCCCATCCCCCTTCAATGCTGTTATCCCCAAGTCCGAACCGGATGCCTCCCACCTCTTCCATTTTGCCTTCTAAAATCCCTGTGTTGTAGGCATCAGATTTTCTTTCATCCTAAATATTTTCTTCTTCTACTCCTTCCGTCTTATATTAGTCACTTAAACCTTGCTCCCCCCAATTATACAACCTCTCTGACCACTCATTGCAGTACTGGCTACACCTTCACTCATTCCCTTTCATTCACAAGTCAAAGCAGAGAAGTTAGAATATTCCTTCTCTTCTCAGTGCCATTTCTAAGTTCTCCTCCTACTTTCCCCAGTGAGTAACGTGTTCTCCTTTGAAGTCCATGCTATTCATATCTATCACCCAATCAAAATCCTGGTAAATGTTATCTACAGATTCCTAGGTTACTACCATCCTTCCCCAGTGAATTTGGTGCCTGGTTCACCATTTGTCTCTTCTCTCCAGCTCTTGCCCCCATGCTAGGGATCTTCAGCAAGTATATTGATTCTCCAGCAAACACATAAACCACTTAGTTCCTCTAATTACTTGCTTTCCATGAGCTGCTCCTCCACCCAAACTCAGGCACATACAAATATGATTATACCTTTGATCGTGACATCATCCACAAATATATATATCACTTCCATGATCAAGAATTCTAAAATTCCCTTATCTGACCATATTCTATTGGTTTTCAATGTCTTTTGCCTTCCTTTACTGAATCTTATTCTTTTTCCACTCTGTGGCTTCTACTACCCTGACCTCTCTGTTCTCTCCCAGGCTATCTCCCCTCTAACTAGCCACACTCCTTCCTCTTTCCCTCATTTTGACCCCTTGGCGATTTAATTCAACTTTACACTTGCCGAACTAGTTTTACACTTGCCGAACTAGTTCAGCTGTACACTGCCCATTTCTCATGAGTCCCTAGACACCTTGTATCACCTATTATACCCTACCAAACTTTAGCTTTGAATCATTTCTACCATCTGCTACCTTTGCTCCTACACATGTGCTCCTGAACAGGGATGTGGAAAATCATGTAACTGTTCTGAAGGGAATCCACTACACATTTGTTATACAACCTGAAGTGGGCCCTCACTGCTATAAGGAAGTCTTTTTACATTTCCATTATCAACTTAACTATCCCACTCTGTAGTAGCTCCTCCAAACTTCCTCTTACCCTCCCATGGCCCCTTATCCCCACCCCCTCAGAACATTGCCTCATATTTGATTGAAAAAATTGAGGGCATTTGAATTCTCTCTTTTCCTCTTCCTCATCTCATATCACTCATAGCCTTCCACATGTGCAAGCAATCTCATTCTATCCATCTTCTTCAACAGATTACCTCCCTCTGTCATCTTCACTTTCTTATTTAACTTTAATGACTCTCTGTCTGCTGGTTCTTTCCCTACCCCCCACAAACATAAGCATGTCTCTCCCATCCTTAAAAAAACTCACTTAGTCCTTCCATCTCTGCTATTATTCCATATTTTTTCTACCCTTTGTGATCAAACTCCTTTCAGAGGCCACCTAAAATAGGTGCCTTCACTTTGTCTCTTCTCACTTTCCATTACAACCTGGTTTCTGACCTCATTATTCCACTAAAGCTGCTCTTTCCAAAGTTACCTAAGATACCTTAATTGCCAGATCCATGGCCTTTTCTCAATCCTCATTCTTCTTGAAATCTGCAACCTTTGACACTGTTGATCATCTTCTTGTCCTTAATAGTCTCTTCTCTCAAGGTTTTTGGCACACTGTTTTCTCCTGATTCTTCTCCAGTGTGTAAGACCACTCCTCAGTCTCCTTTGCTGGATCCTCATCTAGGTCATGACGTCTAACCATAGGTGTTCCACAGGGTTTTATCCTAGGCCCTTTTCTCTGTCTATGCCGTTTCACTTGTTGATCTCATTAGCTTTCATGGATTTAACTAACATCTCTATGCTGAGTCTCAAATATACCTATCCTGTCCTAACCTTTGCTGACCTCTAATCTCTTATTTCCAATTGCCCTTCTGAAATCTCAACCTTGATGTCCAGTAGACATCTAGATTAAATTTAATATGTCCAAAACAGAACTCGAGGGCAACATCATCTCCTCCCAGTCTCTTCAAGCTGGCAACCTCCAGTTTTCTTATACCTGACTTCCTACCACATACTCTTTGAGCCATTGACACCATCCTCATAGCTGTTCCACAAACAAGACACTCCATCTCTTAGCTCTGAGTATTTTCTTTAGCTGTCCCTCGTGCCTGGAATGCTTTCCCTCCTCATCTCTGCCTCCTGGCGTCCTGTAAGCCCCAACTAAAATCAGTCTTTTACCGGAAGCCTTTCCCAACCCCTCTTAATTCCAGTGCTCTCCTTCTTTTGATTAGTTACTATTTATCTGATATATAGCTTGCTTGTATATATTTGTTTGCTTGTACTCTCCTATTAAATAATGGGCTCCTTGAGTACAGAGACAGTGTTTTGCTTCTTTCTCTATCTCCTGTGTTGACCATAATGGCACATAATAAGTGCTTAATAAATAAATACTCTACCTACCTCTCATCCCCTTCCTACCGTTCTCTTCCCTCCCCTCCATCTGTTTGTCCTTGTCTAAGCATGTTAACCCATGATATACCTCATTTTCCTAATGTCTTACATTCGTACTTGGGTCTGAAAAGTTTTAAACCAAGTTATTGTTAAATGAAAAATTTATATGGTTTACTGTTTTCTTTAACTTGCCCAATAGCTGTTGCACAAATATTTGTCTTTTTATTTACTTAGAAATTTAAACTTATGATCTAAAATAAATAGTAATGAAATAATCATGATTTAATTAGATTTATTTATTCAGTGCCTTTTATCTGTAAGTCATTGTACTAGATTCAGTGTATGGGGGTATACAAAGATACACAAGCTGTACCTTCAAAGAACTTAAAGTAATAGGATAGACAAAAGCACACAACTCTTAGGACAGTTTGTGTTAAGTGTTTTCAGAGAAAATTATGAGGAGATAAGGATTTGGGGAGGATTGTTGAGAACTAAGCAGAAGAAAAATATATTGGAGAGGAAGATAATAAAGATATATTAGAAGTGGGTGCTTCGTTCACTAAGATCTTGGACTAAACTTGAGGGGTTGGGAATTGATTGGAAATCAAGGACATAGGTGAAAGGGTTTTCCTTGAAAAGAAAGGACAGGAGAGACCAAGTGAAGATACAGAGGAACTCTGAGGGAAGTTTGAGGGAAGTTCATTCCAAATATTCTAGGATATTCCAAAAGAGTAGAGGGCAAGGTAGTGCTAGGAGTAAGATACAAAACTTGAGCATAGAAAAAGTTTATAGTAGGTGTGTCATGTCACTTGCTCTGCTACTGAGCTTACTTCAGTAGGTTATAGTGAGCATTCATGACATAGGTGCTTTGACAGCAGAGTTACTGTGAATTCCCCAATGTATACATAATCAATTTGGCTTCATACTTATTGGTATATTGTGACTAGAATAAGTATAAAAATTAACCAAATCTTTATTAAATATGTAGTTATATAGACAAGATAGGGGGCTTGTGAATGTGTTTTTGTTTTTAGTATTTTATTTTTATTCTAGTGATTTACTGACTTTGATTTTATGTTGGCTAATAAAATGTCATCAGGCAGTATATAATTATATTCACTAATTGTAATTCTAGAATGTGTAATTCAGTTAGAAAAAGAGAGCAAGAAAGTCAGTTTTCTGGAAGCTAACCTGGCCTTCTCATAATGTCACTTCAGATTTTGTTGAACTAGTGAGTGCATAATTACATAACCTCCTTTTTTATGGTAACTTGTTGGGTCATAGCAAGTTATATATATGACTTCCTTATGAGCTTCATAAGACTCAATAGAATTTCAATGATATGGGAAAACTGGAAGTTTAACCAGGAGCTCCAACATGTATTTCAGGTAGAGAATTCCAAAGATAATGAAGAAGATCTCCTCCAAAGAGAAATTGCTGGAAGACAATCTCGAAGAAGGTTTAGGAAAATTAACCACAGGGGAGAACGACAGACCATTACTGACAATGTGGATGCTAACAGTTACCTTACTGTAAGTATGCTTGGAACCATCATATTATTCTGATTTTATTTTTATGAGATATTAGTATTTTTTGTAGATGTCAGAATGACTTATGATTATAGTCATAAGCCTTATTGTATGTAACCCATATCTTCCCTATCCTCAAAAAGCCCTCACTTGATTCTTCTGTCCCTGCTAACTATTGTTCTATGTTTCTTCTGCCCATTGTAGCTAAACTCCTTGAAAATACCATATATAGGCAGTGTTTCTACTTTCTCTCCTCTCATTCTTCTCTTAACCTCTTTCTAGCTTCTGACTTTATCATTCCACCAAAACTGCTCTCTCCAAAGAATGGTCTCCTAATTGCCAAATCCGATGGCCTTTTCTCAGTTCTCATTCTCCTTGACCTTTCTGTATCCTTTGACACTGCTGACTGCTTTTTCTTCCTTGATATTTTCTTCTCTCTAGATTTTTGGGACATTACTCTTTTCTGGTTCTCCTTCTACCTTTCTAACCACTCATACTCTATCTCTCTTGCTGTATCCTCTTCCAGATGATGCTCTCTATCCTTAAGTGTCCTTCAGAGTTCTGTCCTGGGCCCTCTTCTCCCTTTATACTGTTTCACTTGGTGACCTCATCAGCTCCCATGGATTTAGTTGCCATCTTTATCTCTTTTCTCACCTCCAATCTTGCCTCTCCAACTGCCTTTCAGACGTCTCAAACTGGATATTTGTAAAAGTAAACTAAGATAGAATCTGGATTATCTGTTAAATTTCTTTATTTGTGGCTTGTTTATATGTGGATGAACTTTGACCATTTCATTCCTGTTAACAAAAAGATGCCGTGTCTGTGGTATTTCTGATTTCTAAATAGAGTTGAAGTAGCAGACTTCACTTTTTGTTAAATCTACATTTTTGCATTTAGTACAATTTTTCGAAGGGAGGAAACTGTATATTCATCTGTAGATTGTTTTTATTCTGCTGAATATCATCTGTAGAAAGGTATTTGATCTGGCTACCAGGCTATTGGAGATGGCCTTTAGAAAATTGAGCTTCCTGTCTGTCTTACCTATAGGTATGGAATAGAAAAGAGAAATATTCTATTTTATTTGTATTTTTTTTTTAACTGATGGGATTGATCATTAGAAAAAACTGGCTTATGGTAGCTTAAATTTCAGGTATTGACTTAAAATGTCATCATTAATGATAATTTGTGGCATATGCAAACACTGTGGTAGAAAATTAATAATCAGTAAGCATTTATTAAGCATTTCTTACATGCCCAAAACTCTGGAAAGGTACAAAAGAGAGACAGCCCATGTCTTCAAGGAGCATATATTTCACTTGAATATATAATATATTCACTAATTAGTAAAATACAGGACATTTGCAGAATAAATATGCAGTGATTTGGGGACGGGACACTAAAAAGCAGAGAATTAAATGAAAGAGGCGGCACTTGAACTGAGCCTGGACAGGAGGCTTGGGGATCCAGGGGAAATGGAGGTAAGGGTGAGCATTTTCGGCCTGGGGGACAGGCTGTGTAAAGACACGGAGGCGGGAGTCACTGACTCGGAGGAAGAGCTCCTTATTTGTGAACTATCTTCATCTTGTTTTTTTTTAGTATAATCCGAATGTCAAATTAAATCCCTGGGAAGGGTATCAGCATTGGTATTTTTTGGTTGAATGGGTAGTATGAGGTATGTTTATATCCTTCAGAGAATATTTTCATTCAACAGACACGTAGGTTATTTCGTTCAACAGACTGTTTTATACTTTTGGTATTTTGGTATTATGGGTTGATAGATGAGATCTACCTGAATTATATGCCTAGGTTTTTAACAGACTTAACAAAATGGGTCCATCATTACACATATTGAAAATGACATTGAGCTGGGCTCAAAATTGAATAGGTGGAACTGAATGGGTTTTGGTTGTGTAACACTTTCATTGACTCTGATCTGTCTTAAACAAAAACCTGCCTTCACTAGTATTTTTCCAGTTAAGTGTGATAGCTTGGAGTACTACCTAGGGAACAGCTCCTCCTCTGACACCTATTCTGTGTGACCTTGGGCAGTTCACCACTTAACTTCTTATTGCTTGAGACATTTCTCCAGGATAATAAGAGCTGTGGCTGATCTCCATTTAGTGAAGAAGTTTCATCACCTAAAATCTTGTTATAATGGTGAAATCTCACTTCTACCCAGATTCTGGAGGGAAAGTGGATATATTCCTTGTTGCCCTTTCCCTGTCCCAGACCATCCCTTTTACCTCTGTCACTTAGCAGCCTCCTCCTTTGAAGTTTGTGAAATAAAAAAAATTTCATGCAAATCCAGATCATGGTGGCTGTTGTATACTATCCCCAGGTCATTTTCTCTTATTTCTCAAGGAGTTTGGCACGTGGATCATCATCCTCTTTTCCCCTATGATTTTGTTGTTCTTGTTTAGTCATTTCAATCATGTCCAATTCTTTGTGACTGCATTTGGAGTTTTCTTGGCAAAGATACTGGTGTGGTTTACCATTTCCTTCAGCTCATTTTATAGGTGAGGAACTGAGGCAAACAGGGTTAAGCCCAGAGTCAGATAGCTAGTAAGTGTCTGAGGCCAGATTTGAACTCAGGAAGATCAGTCTTCCTGACTTCTGCTTCCTTAACTAGAAACTCTGATACCCTTCTATCTGACTTTTTTCAAATTGTCTATATCAGATGGCACTGATGTACTTGACTCATTTGTGATTTTTTGAGTAAGCAGTCTTTAACAGGATAAAAAATTAAGACATCCCTCTTAATTTCAAAATTTTACAAAAGGAAGATTAAAAAACCCAACAATGGTGATTATTACATTTTTTGCTTTTATTTTTCTAGAAACTCAGCCTAGATTCATACATAATTTATCAATGTCCAAGTGACATATCTTTGTGAAAGATGACCCTTTCTTAGCTAACATAACAGCTGAGGAAAAAAATGGCTTATGCAGGCAGCTGCAAAGATTGTAGGGAAAATTGAATCTGTGCTGTCTTTTTATTATTCCTTCAGTTTTACTGGTTCTAATTTTAGAAGCTTACATCACCTTAGTTGTGATGACTGCTTCTGTTAACTGCCCGTCTTGGCTTACTTTCTCTCCCTCCCTCATTACCTTTTCTCTATACCTCCCTGAGGATGTATCATATTTTTATACTACATCTGGGTCCTACTGATCCTATTCACTGAGTTTTTCTGTAGCAGTTTAGTGATCATTTAGCAGTCATGGCAGCTAATGTACTTAAAGTATATAGTCAGAAGGCTGGAAAAAACTAAGGGCAGCTTGTGGCTTTTCTTTACTAGGCTCAGGAAGTTTGGGGAGAAATAAACTTTTGAGCCAAATGTTACAAAGGGCTACTACTCAGAGTTATTCATTTAAATGTTTCAGGTTAAACTTAAAGAATTGGAAAGCAGATCACAGTGATACTCATCAAAGAGGGTTGATCCAGGCTACTTGCAGGTGGTGCTACATCTTTTACTGCTATCGATTACAATCATTGTTTGCTCATTAACGTTCCAAAGGTTTTAAGTGACCCAGCATTATAAACTAGCAGTGCAACTTTTCCAGGTTTTAATTTCAGAACCCAAAATTCTTAAAAACTAGAGGAAAAAGCTTAACCTTTTATTTTAAGGATCTTGGCTTCTAAGTTCAGTGCCCCCTCCCCCCAAACCAAAAACCCTTACATTTTTATTTTTCCCTCTTGCTTCATTTCTCATCTATTGAGAGTTTCCCCTTAGTGTAGGTAATAACTGTTAAGATTAAAAACAAAATAATATATGCATATCTGAGATAGGTACAAAAACCCACTTGCACTTTACTTGTGGAACTCTTTTGTTGTTTAGTCATTTCAGTTGTGTTTGGGGGTTTTCTTGGCTGAGATATTCGAGTGGTTTGCCATTTCCTTCTCCAGCTCATTTTATAGATGAGGAAACTGACTTGCCCAGGGTCTAAGTGTCTGAGGCTGGTGTGCAACCTAGTTGCCCAGGGATCTTGATAATACTAGCAAATAGCCTCTCAAACAGTACCCTGTCTAGCTTGCCTGCCTTGAAATATATTTAGAAACAAGGAGTTTTTGTGCACAAGCACTTAAGAATTATTATTAGGTGTAGAATTGAGTCATCCTATATTATGATTTTATTAGAGGGCAGTGGAGTGGAAGATGCTAGAATCTGAGTCAGTTAATCATTTACTATTTTGCTGTGTGCTAAGAATACAAAGACAACAGTAAAATATTCTCTGCCCTCAAAGTGCTTATGATTTAGCCATGGAAAGCAACATGTACATAAATAGGTGTATATATAACACAGATAACAGGCTGTTTGGGAAGAAGGCACTAGTAGCTGTGGAGAGTGGAGTCAGGAAGGGCTTCCTGGAGAAGGTGGTCTTTGAGTTGAGCCTTGTAGGAAATTCCACAAGGCAAAGATGAGAAGCGAGTTTATCCTAGGCATGGACAACCAATGTTAAGGCACAGAGATAATAAGAAGGCTAGTTTGACTAGACTACAGTAAATGTGAAATGGATTGGCAATATGTAATACAATTTGAAGAATTTTTAATGCCATATTCACAAGTTCTCATTTGATCTTAGAAGTGATGGGGAGCACTGAAATTTTTGAGCAGGGATGTGGCATGGTCAAACCTGCATGTAATGAAAATCACCTTGGCAGCTGGGTGGAAGCATGGATTTGAGTAGGGAGAGATGAGACAAAGAGAAATTTGGAGAATGTTTGCAATAGTCCAGTTGAGAGATGATGAAGGCTTGAACTAGGTTAGTGACTTTGTGACTGGAGAGAAGGGGGAAGAATATGAGAGATTTTATGGAGGCTGAAACAAGATTTTACATCTGATTGGATATGTGCAGTGAAAGGAAGTGGAGAAACTAAGTATATCACCAAAGTTGTAAACCTGGGTTACTGGAACCCTTTGGTTAAAGTAGAAAAGTTGGGAAAAGGAGTGGGTTTTTGGGAAAAGATTATAAGTTTTATTTTGGACATAAGTTCTGTTTAATTTG